CCATCCATCCATCCACCCATCCACCCATCCATCCACCCACCCATCTATCCATCCATCCATGCAGCTATCCAACCAGCCAACCCAACAACCACAGCTAGACATGGGGACATCTCTGGTCTCTGTGCTTCACAAGAGCTCTAAAGAGCACACCCACAGTAGTGCGGCCAGAACACACCCACAGTAGTGTAGCTGGAGCACACCCACAATAGTGTGGCAGGAGCACACCCACAGTAGTGTGGCCGGAGCACACCCACAGTAGTGCGGCCGGAACACACCCACAATAGTGTGGCAGGAGCACACCCACAGTAGTGTGGCTGGAGCACACCCACAGTAGCGTAGCTGGCCTTTCCAAGACCAACAGTTTACTTAGACACTAGGCTGTCCATTTTTAGTGTGTTACCGACATGTACTGAGGGGTCTGCCCAGCCTCTCCCCTCTCCCCGGAGATATGTTTATCCACCAGCCTGGGCTGCCTTCCAGCAAATCAAAAGGAGTTCCAGGAAAAATGACAACTTGCTGGCTGTTGGTTTCAGCACAAGCCTGGCAGCAGCCTCCTAGCTGACGGAGTCAGGGCATCTTATGGGCTAGCTCCAGGGAACTTCTTTTTATCCTTTAATCAGGCAACATGCTCCACCCAAAGGCAATTGCTCTCAGGCCTACGATATTTCCTTCCCCTTTCCTTGAATAGAGAGCCTCAGCATCCTCCCCAATCCAAATTAAAACCAGAAACAGCAACGACAACAAAACCCAACACAAAAAACTTCTACACGAACCAGAAGACCAGGAATGTGTGTCTCATGAGTGTTCTCTGGAACCCCCTGAAGGTCTTGGCTGGGAAAACTGAGGGGATGAGCCCAGGACAGTCCCTTGAGCAAGGCCTATGGTATGAGGCCCATTGCCACATAGCACTATGGATGCTTAAGGTTCCTGGATGGGCACTATCCCCAGTAGAGTAAACAGTATGTCAGGCAAGACGTGGCTAACTTGATGAGTGGGAAGAAAGGCAGACTTGTGGGTTCCAGCAGGTTTTGCATGTTTAAGGCAGAACACAGTTATCTGGAGCAAGAAGGTTGTGATTTTACCTATTTTTGAGTCTCAGAGTTGCTGCCTTTGAGTAGTTTCCTACTGATTAGTGAAAGTGGGTGGATCTGGCTTAGTATGTTTTAAAGGTGGGTCCGCTGAGAGCTGTCCTGCACCCCGGGGGTCCACATATTATCAAAATTCTGAGTTCACTGGGCTTGGTGACGCACGCCTGTAAGCCCAGCATTTATGAGGCAGAGGCAGGGAGATCTCTGTGAGTCTGAGGTTAGCCTGGTCTACCTAGTGAGTTCCAGGACAGCCAGGGCTCTGAAGATAGACCCTGTCTCAAACTTAACTCACTTTATGTTAACTTTCGACTATAACTTTTTTTTTTAAAAAAGTCAATGAACAAAATGTATTAATAAAAAGAGCAAATATGTGTGTTATATTTTAAAACAAGGATCTTCTTGTAAAATTACTGAGATCAATTTTCCATTTTACCTTTGATTTTTTATGAGCTCTTTTTTAATGTAAATAAAATTCATGTGAAGTGATAGTGATAATCCTACCACTTAAACTATTTGTAAGAAATTGTTCCTACTTGCAATATTCTCAGAAGAACTTTAGTGCATGCTGGAAAAAATAAAAAAAAGTATTACATCTTCTAGTATTATAACAAGGACCATCCAAGTTCTAACCAAGAAAGACGGAGAACACTTGTTAAAGGTTTTAATGTGTCGTTTCTTTTGAAAGTATTGGGTGAGTCTCTAACTAGGAAGGGTTGGAAGTATTTATGACTTCTTAGGAATCACTCACTTTTTAACATTTTTTAAAATTGTTTTTATCTTTTATTTTTGGAGACAGTTCATGCTGCTGAACTCTCCATGGCGAGTTCATGCTATCCTTTGGTGTTTGTGCCCCACATCCTGTGATTATATAGATCCCTCCAAACTGGCTCAGGAGTCCTGCCAATTAAAATAGGCATCAATTCTAGCCACATTTGTAAGTGTTCTACAAATGAATAACATTTTTATAATTTCCAAGAGAATGATGCTGACATGTTTTATTACACATTTAATGAAATATTCTTTTATTTCAATTTCACAATTTTTTTTCTTGGCTTGCTGGCAATAGCTCTTTATTTAGGTTAAGTAAATTGTTTTGTAGGTTCCTGAAG